TATCGAAGATGCCGTACTGATATATGATCTAATAATTTCGCTCCAAAACCAATCACTTTCACAATAAAAATTAACTGACAACAAAGATTTCGTGTAAGCCGAAAATTAGTGAAATTTTTATTTGCAAAGAACTTTAATTTCATATGATTGAGAATACGAATTATTTCAATGCACTAAGCAGATGATAGCTTCATACATAAATTCATTAACAAAATTTATATTCTCCACTTACCAACACCATAAAAGTTAGAAAAATTTAGAACCTTTAGTCATTTAAGGTTATTTAGTATCATAAAAAACTTCCGATCTACCATAATCAGAAATGACAAAATTATAACGGATATATTATCCTTTCAATATCTCTAATTGCACCATATTCATTGCTTATCGCTTCTTGAGTTTGCAGCACATTATAGCGACAATCATTTTTTTGATTTTCCTCAAAACATAACCTCAATTGGTTAACTTATCGAGATCTTCTATATTAAGAGTTCAATATGTCGCATGAATAGCTGTAATCATAATAAGCATTAATAATCTAATATGTATGTAACAGTAAAATTTAGAATTAAAAGCACCTTAAAGAAGAATAATTGAAAATGAATGTTAGCATATTTCACAATCATGATTTTGATTTCATTGCCCTGAAAAGATGCATCAAAAAATCTTTTCAAATTCATCTTATTCAATTCTTCTTAATTTTCTGATTTTTTTTTTTAATTCTTTACACATATAAAAAAAGTCATAACCGTTTAGTTGTATATAAATTCGATGTGGAAAAATGACTATTGATTAGCAAATTGAAATGTGCAGCAATTGCAGTTGTTGTCGATTTTCTTTAACCGTGACAAAATTAAGGATTCTTTTTGCCTTTCAATAGTAACACTCAAACTTGAGTAATTAAATCTTAATTACGATAACTTCAATTAACACGTCAAGAGCAACAGTTACAACATTAGTGATACAATAAGAAATTCTAATAACGTTAAAAGAACTCAGGAACAGAAGCTACCCAAAGATACTCAGTGTATTCAAACTGACTTCGGGACCAAAATGATGCTGTTTAGAATTCTTCGCACCATAGAGTCACTCCTGAGATCAGATCATCGAGCACTTGAAGCGCATAAACATGGCAACTCATATGATTTAAAACGACTTATATTCTGATATATCTTTACAAATTACCATATAAATCTATACATTTTCTTTTATCAAGAGACTTCTTCGCTATTTCAGCGACATTGTCGAGAGCGATTGTCCAAGTCTTGTTTTCTTCCGAGATCTCCAAAGGATAAAAATGCCTTACTGCTCTCATCAGCGTGTTTCCATTAGCAATTCTTTCATCTGCTGATCGACATATATCATTTTTTCCCTTATCGACTCTTACCATTTTCCAGGTATTTCTGTGACAATTTCCTTTCAACAGCATCAGTTCATCAATTTCTAGTTTTCGTCGAATTTGGCTGCGAGGTCTCCGGTGCTTACGCTGAGTTCGTTTTTTAGCTCTTTTAGATATTCTTTTCGCCATATCTTCCATAAATGATCAAGTCTCAAAGCATGCAGCCATATACTGTGCGTCAATTCTTTTGGTTGTAGATTTTTATTTTCGTTTGTTCCATCATCTCTGAAGGAGGCCTTTCTTTATGTTAATTGTTCTTCATGAGCTGAACTTAAAATTCAAAAAATCACCACGTCATAACACCAGATCTATTTCTTCAATATCTATATCAAAGATCTTTCATTGATAATTGCTTCAAAATCAGTGACTAGAGTTATTAATTCTCCATTGTTAAGGAGCTTTGTAGCTATGGCTTTTCCTTTAATCACTCCGACCACTCTTTCACAAACGCCGCCCTTCCAAAGGGCGCTTGGCATAATAAATTCTTTTTCATCGTTTCGATTTCTGCAATATTTAATTCTACAAGCGCCTAAGAAATTGTTTTAAGATTCTTGGCATTGTCATTTCTTTTTCTTAGAAATGATATGTTTCACCTGTTTTCTTCGTTTGTAAATCTACGGAATGCTTGTGCAAATTGTTCAGCAGATATAGTTTACATTACTTCAAGATGCACAGTTCGAGTGGCCAGATATATGAATAGAGTCACCCATCGTTTGGCAATGACATGATTTGTTTTATTATAATTAGCCCAAATAGGTCTACATCTACTGCTTCAAACAGTCGTGTTGCCATAAATCTAACAGTGAAGTAAGAAAATATGGTTGTTCACTTCACATAACGCAATCTTTACAAATTTTTCTTAAAATTATCTTCTACTACAGTTGCCTTATCTTATGCCAAGTGTAATGTAATCTCGCATGAAATGATTTCTCATGGTAATCTTATCAAATCTGCTAGTTTTCCTTTACTGATGACATATGGGAAATCCTCAGTTTGATGCATTGTCCTTCTAGGTTTTTTAACGCATCTTCATATTCCTTTTCTTAAACCCGTTTGATTTCCTTCTGCTTATGTCCAACTGTATTATCTTGATTACCAATTGTGTTGCCCTATCATATTCTTTAGAAGTAAAATTTTCCTTGATAACCCTTTCAAACTATCCTCATCTTTTTTTTTTCTGATATTTTCGCGAAGAATCGTTAGACGTACTGTTCTTATTAACTTAAGCAGGGATGAAAACCGTGTCTCTCATCTATCAACACCTTCTTCTTCCATCAATCCCATGCTCATACACACATTCACGATGTTTTCTTCCATGACGATATCCTTAGACCAATTTTCCTTCAGTTCCCACAACTATGACGGATGATTCTACCATAACTATTTGTCTCTTAATTTTCCAGAGAAGAGCCCTTGTGAAGCGTGGTCCGCCGGATTATTGTTTGACCTTACGCGGTGGAATTCAATTTCCTTACATCTTATTTCGTCAATTCTCTTTGAAATATTTCTGGATCCTACCGGCGATTTTCTTAGCCAGTGCAAGACACAAGTGCTATCTATCCACAAATAAACCTTTTTTATACCAATTTATTGCTTAACAAATTTCAGCGCTCTTATCCAATTGTAACGGCGAGTAACTCCAACCGAGGAATATTAGCTGATCATTTCCTACTTTCTCATTTCGGAACCAACTTGTATTTCAGTATAAGTTGTGGCTTTCATGTCATTCTACTACTTCTACGTGAATATTCTGCTAGTCCCACAGCTCTTTCAGATGCATCCACAAACTTATGTATCTCGGAGCATTCTAGCGGCGTCCATCGAGATACCTTTATGATGACATTCTATCGGTTAAATGCCTTTTCTAACTCTCAGTACTTTCTCATTTCTTCAAGTTATAGTTTTTAATCGCAGGACATATCTTTCTTCCATAAATCTTGAACCAATAGTTTTCATGAGAGTATAATTGGACACAATAATCCTAATGGATCATAGACAGAAGAATAGAACTCCATTATTTAACGCTTAGTCCGAGTCCTCATTCTGAAATCTTTTCAGATAAATTCATTTTTGTTATTATCCCATTCGATGCCTAACAATTTTATTCCTGTCTTCCTTGGCAGTTCTTGCACCTTTTCTATTATTAATTTCATGATTTGCATGGAATCCTCTCAAATGAATCTTGATTTTCTTAAAGAATTCTTTTCCTTCGCTTGTTTTTCTGGTACTTTCTAACTCACTTTCTGAGATTAGCACAACATTATCAACATAGAAATTCCTTGAAGTTTCCATTGATAATTTTGAGTTTTCTTCACTCAGTAAATATCTAATCACAACGACCAACAGAAAAGGTGATGATACCCCGAAAGAAACTTGTGCGAATCGAAAAGTAACTAAGTTTTCTTGAGACGACTCCTTCGTTTTATCTTTCAGCCATAAAAACCTGGTGGCATCTCCGTCTTCCCGTTTTAAGCTGACTTGCAAAAATGCTTTCTCTGCGTCAGTTATCACCAAATAATGTCCTTGCTTGACTCGTACAAGGATTCCTATTAATGATGGTATTATTACTGGTGTTCTATACAGGCATTCATTTAATGATTCATTTGCCTTTGCTGATGCTATTGTTAGCTTCGAAGTGGATTTCTGAGGTGTTATTATCGCCTGGTGAAACAGGTAAGATATTTTGTGATATTTCATCTTGATTTTTAGCTTTTCTATGATTCTTTCTTCTAACAAGTTTTTAAAATATTCATCGTAAAGTTCCAATAATTTTGGAGACTTCTTTAGTAATTGTATTGTAGATCGGAGTCGTTCTTGTGCCAGTCCATATCCCTTCGCTGGCGCGATCTCTTGGTTCTTCCATGGCCAGTCCACCACGCATCTTCCTTCATTGTCCATAGTGAGCGATTTTTGAAATGCCTCAAGAGCATTTTTATTCTGATATTCCGTCATTAAATCTTTAATTCTAATTACTTCTAATTTTCATGTTTTTCATGTGCATTTCCGACTGCTTCTTTGTTATATTTGCAAGTGTTTTAACTCCATAAGACTCGTTATTTCCTTCTTCCATATCATTATCTTGCTTCAATTTTCATTTACCGCCTGTGATCACTCCTATTCTGTGTTCCATAATTATTTTTCCTGATAGTGATTTATAGAATTACGGGTGACTAAAAATCATTGAATTTTTATTGTTTATTTATAATAATTAATAATGATGTTCATCATTATTAATTATTATTATTATTATTCTATTAACATCATATGCTTATTTTTATCTTTTTCAAATAATTCAAGAATGAAAAAGAATGATGTTAACAGATAGATAAATGAAATGATGATAATAATAATGATAATATAATAGAATAATTTATACGAATAAACGGTAATGTTCGTTGGCGTTTGTGTTTAACCTAAGTTATCGTCTAAATGTCAATAACAATGAAGATAAAATGATAGCTTAATTGATTTCTTTTTATCATAACCAATTAAGTAGACTTAATAAGCATTTTAGCTAGTATGCTACCAACAAAATAATACACACACACACACACACATACAATAATATGATATAATTGTTATTTATAATAATTTTTCAATAACTCTTAGCGGTGGATCACTTGGCTCGTGGATCGATGAAGAACGCAGCTAGCTGCGATAAATAGTGCGAATTGCAGACGCATTGAGCACAAAGATTTCGAATGCACATTGCACGATCGGGTTGATTCCCGATGGTACGTCTGGTTGAGGGTCAATATCGATCAGATTATCAAATAATATACTAAAATTAATACATATATACATATGAATAATATATGTTTTGGATATATTATTTGTTAAAATTAATTCATCAGGTGATGATGTGATGATAATCATTGAAAAATGACAAAATCCTCTGATTAAGTATAATAAAAATAGTAAGTAAAAAAGCAAATACTTTTTACTTACAAAATATTTACATATTGGAATAAATAATTTAATCTTTCATATATATAACTGATACATCATAAATATATATAGCAAAAGAAAGATATAAATTATTATCATTTTTTGATCATTATTGCTATAATTATTATGCTGCTTGTTTAACTATAATAATAGCAATGAATGAATCAAAATTTAAATGATACGTTAAAATCCAACCAATATGTTATAAATTTTCTTTCATTTTTGACCTCAACTCAGTCGTGATTACCCGCTGAATTTAAGCATATAACTAAGCGGAGGAAAAGAAACTAACGAGGATTTCCTTAGTAACGGCGAGTGAAAAGGAAAAAGCCCAACGCTGAATCCAATAGTTATTTAAACTATATGGAAATGTAGCGTATAAGTATAACTATTCGTAGCATATTTTACACCCAAAGTCCCCTTGAGCGGGGCTACAGTCCATAGAAGGTGCTAGACCTGTACGGGTGAAAAAGTTACGATATGTTATACTTTGGAGTCGGGTTGTTTGAGATTGCAGCCCAAAGAGGGTGGTAAACCTCATCTAAGGCTAAATATGACCACGAGACCGATAGCAAACAAGTACCGTGAGGGAAAGTTGCAAAGAACTTTGAAGAGAGAGTTCAAGAGGGCGTGAAACCGCTGAGATGGAAACGGATAGAGTTAACGAAACATATCGATATTCAACCAATCAATTTAGCAAATCTTAATTTCATTTATTATTCATTTTTGAATAAAATGATATAATAAGATAGAAGTGCTTTTATATGATTAGTGTATTTATCGATTGTATGCATTGAGAGCTTCATTTAAGCATATTAATACAATCATTTAGTGGACCAATTTTTTAATCTAATAATTAATAATTGGAATCCTAAATAATGTTGAAATATGTCTTAGATGAAGTTTAAATAATAAAATGTAACTTTCACTTGAAATAATAGTGACATGCATCGATTATAATTTTTACTAATTACATTTACATGTGGTCGCATGCGACTTATCGGTAAATGGATTAATTTTTTAAAAGAATTAGTAAATTTATTGTATGCATTTACATGTAATATTATATGTATATAAAGTTACATCTCAATGTACACGGACCAGCAGGACGGTGGCCATGGAAGTTGGAAACCGCTAAGGAATGTGTAACAACTCACCTACCAAATTAACTATCCCTGAAATGGATGGCGCTTGAGCGGAAGACTTATACTCAACCACTGCATGGCTTGTATTTAAATTAAATAAAAAAAACAAAAAAACCTGGCCACAACGAGTAAGAGTTTCGCAATGGTTAGCGTTAAAGACTTTGGGCATAGGCCCAATTGGAGCTTCCATTAGTGCAGATCTTGGTGGTAGCAACAAATATTCAAATGAGATCCTTGAAGACTGAAGTGGAGAAGGGTTCCACGAACAGCAAATGAATGTGGGTCAGTCGATCCTATGAACTTGGCCAATGCCGTTTAATAAAATAGAGGAATAGAGGTGTAATCCATCAGATAGAATCGAAAAAGAAACAGGTTAATATTTCCTACGTGGACACGGAGGTAAATGGTCATCGTGAGAATTTAGCGCGGTAACGCAAATGAACTCAAAGACATTGAGGAAGGCCCGAGCCAGTGATCTCTTTTATGATTAAGGAACGGACTCCCTGAAATCGGTTCAGCCGGAGATAGGGAAGTTGTTTCCGTAAAGCGCCACGGTTCCTGTGGTGTCTCGTGCGCTTTGTTCGATCCATGAAAATCCGAGGGAAGCTATTTGAATTTCGTGCCAGATCGTACCCATATCCGCAGCAGGTCTGCAAGATAAACAGCCTCTAGTCGATAGAATAATGTAGGTAAGGGAAGTCGGCAAATTAGATCCGTAACTTGGGGATAAGGATTGGCTCTAAGGACTGGGCCGGTCGGGCTGTAATGTGAAGTGAGTATGATTTGATCCATGCAATGTAACATTAATGCTTAAAAATCATTGATGAAACCCGGTTAGTATTCGAACTGTCTTATGGACCGTTATAGCTGTGTATCACATTTACTTTTTTTTCCAAAAAAATGAATGTTTAATTGATATTTCGGCCGGCGTCAAACAGTTAACTTAGAACTGGCATGGACTCGGGGAATCCGACTGTCTAATTAAAACAAAGGAGACAGATGGCCCTTGGGGCGTTGACTGTCTCTGATTTCTGCCCAGTGCTCTGAATGTAAAAGTGAAGAAATTCAACCAAGCGCGGGTAAACGGCGGGAGTAACTATGACTCTCTTAAGGTAGCCAAATTCCTTGTCATCTAATTCGTGACGCGCATGAATGGATTAACGAGATTCCCACTGTCCCTATCTACTATCTAGCGAAACCACAGCCAAGGGAACGGGCTTGGTAAACACAGCGGGGAAAGAAGACCCTGTTGAACATTTAAAACATTAAATATATTTATGCTTAAGCAAAATTTTTGTATGCATCATTAAAATTCGGTTATCGTCGGTAAAAACTAAAGATATTGATTATATATAAGTATATCAAAAGATTAAATGAGACATGTTTGTAAAATTAAAAGATTTAATCATTATATGCTGGGTGTCAAAGGAGCAGAGGATAAAAGAGGAAGAGAATCAAAGATTTTAAAAGAAGTGAATTTCGATCGATGGGGTCAGTTCTATTAGTTTGATAGGTATCAGCAACCAGCATCAGAGTCCAGCGAGCGGCTTCGATGATCCAACAACAGAAGCGACAGTTCCAGCAACAAAAAAAATTGGAAGATCGACGGCAATAACAAAGATTTACGATAATCCTATTAACATTCGAACAACTATTATATCCTTTATTCTTTTACTGTACATTATTAATTTAAGAGGTACTGTAATTTTAACCCCTTTGTGTAATCCATATCATTGTTTAATTCGTATCGTTGTTTTGACCCATAGCTTTGTTCAATTCATACCATTATGTATGTGTTATAACATTTATAACTTGATAAAAAAAGCCTATTGTTGACTTAGCCGAGTCACCATAATAAACGATCAACCTCATCCCAAGAATAAAAAAGATCCTCTCTTCTAATTCTCATAGGATGGAAGACGAAAAATATTTTCTTTCTCTTAAAAATTTTTTTATTTGCAATATTTACATAAAATTTGTGCAATACATATTTAATGAATTGACGCCATTTAATGGATTCTTTCTTTTTATACTATCTCAATCCAGAATTTCACAGTAGAATGTAGACTGCTAGCGACATTTATAAAACTGTACGTAAAAATTTGAAAATATTTTCTTTCAAATAACAATAATCTGCTATTCTATTGTTAAATGTCAAAATTTGAATCTGTTGTACTTTGATCCGTTAAACCTCCTACACGTGATCTCAAATTATTGCTATATTCGGACTCTTCTTTGCATCATAAAAATACAAATATATAAAAAGATTTTTTTGCCATTTGTACAATATCATCCATAAACAATGATAGGAAAATAGTTCTTTTATTTTCTTCATTTTTTTGAATTTCTGAATTTTTGTTTATGTGTATAAATCTTTCTCCCGAACTTAAACTATACACGATCAATCATGGAGAAAGATCAATCCATCAGAAAAATTACTGCGTTGATATATTATCGAACAGCAATATTCCATTCTTATTCTAGCATAATGTTTTGTTTTGTCACAAAGGCAAAGACTTATGCTTGTCACCATTGATGGATTTTCCTTTTCTATGATTAACTGTATTATTTGAAGTGCTGGGAATCACTGAATAAAATTCAGTATGTATTATTTATAGCAGTGTTAGAAATGTAGAGCAGACCAAAAGCTGTCGATAATGCAATATTACTTAAATTATTTATTCATTTTTTGATCTATGAAGAAATTAGACAATCGATGAAATCAATTTTAATAAATATGATGCTCGTGATTAAACTGATATTTAAAATGAAAATTTTAATACGCGCAAAGAAAAAATTGGTTGTTATTTTTATGAATAGAACTTCTCGACGGTGAGCTTATTCGGAAAGCGACCAATGTTTTTAACAAATATAACTAGCGTTTCAAAACTCAATTTTTTCCCTTTGTATGCTTTGAGGACCCTGCAATATTAATTTTAAAAGATATTTTTAATATAACATTAACTTTAAAGGATATAGACCATTGCGAATCGAAGCAACGGTAAATATCTTTTAAAGTTAGTATCAGAATGAAGAACATTATAGCTGAAACTTCAGGAAAAAAAAACCTTTTAAGTCATACATTTCAATATTTTTATAGCCAAAATCTTTTAAAAAAAGATTAAGAATTTAATAAATAAAAATTGAAATTTATGAAGTTTCGTGATTTTAGATAATTTATCCTAGCAAGCTAAAAACAGCTTATTTGAATTATTAAATGGGTTCGCTGTTTAAAATGATATTGAAGCGAAACTTCATCGATATCGAAAGACGAAGACAGCAAAGAATTGTCAATCACTGGTACTTCTTCTGAATATAGAATTTCTGGCAAACTCAGAAGCGAAATTTGGTGATATCAGTTTTTGTACTTCTTGAGAAGTCGATGAATATCTGAAATGATTTATAAGGGATGTTAATGGAAGAATTCATCAACTTTCATGAAAGTTGTCATGGGAAAATTAATATGTATGTCAAAAATTCTTTATGCACACCTGCAAGAAAGTATTCTGCGTATATTCGTATTTTGTTGAAAGATTAATTTTGAATACAGACATGTTCGATGATCACCTGATCAAGAGTAGTTTGACTGATCGAATAATCCACTAAACTGGCTAATTCTGCAAATTTTGCAACCTTCTCAAAGAGCATTGACCATGTCTCTCCCTTCTGCATTGCTAATTTGTAATTCAAGTGCAATATATGCTCATCCTAAAAATTTTTGCAAAATTTTGTTAACAGCAAAATTTATTGCAAATTCTGAAGCGTTAAAATTTAAAATTTTTTCTTTGCTCACTCCAATTCGTTCTGAAATAAGAATATTCGGATACCATCAATCGGGCATCGGGAAACATTTTTTAATCAATTCTTTTGTTGGTCCAATCTGACTGCTTGTGCTTAATCGTATTGCTAAACTATATCCGCTACTGTATCTGAAAATAACTAATTCGATAAAGTTGGACAAATTCTATTGTATCGATTTTAGCAGTTTGTTCAATTTTTTTAAATCAGCATGCACTATTTTCAATGTCTATTTCGGAACTGTGATCAGAAACAATTTGTAAAAAAAAAATTACTTTGATATTAAATTTGTTACTAAAATCGTAATTTTTTATTTAACAGAACCAATGATTTTTACTTCGATTTGATGTGTTGTGTACTGCCAAGACATCTGAATTCACCATTTGTCATAATTGCTATTCGTGTACAAAGTGCTTCGCACTCCTCCATACTATGCGAAGTTAACACCAAGGCAGTATCACTTTCTCTAATCTTAAATAATTATCCTGAATGGTAATTAAATTAAAACAAAATACGCTGAAATAATTTAAAAGGTGAACTTTAAATTTTCTCCTTTTTCATTTATTCGTCTATTTTCAAAATGATTTTTAAACTTACTTTTGACAGAATATCCCAAATAAGATGACTTCCTTTGGATCAATTCCAGTTGTTGGTTCATCCAATAGCAGAACATCAGGTAACGTTAATAAGGCAATGCCAAGACTTAAACGCCGTTTGTTGCCACCAATGAAATTAAAATTATTTTTACAACAAAATTTAGTTTTATCTTATTTTCTTCTTCTCTGTTTAATTTATCTTCATCTTCTCTTTTCACTTTATTTTTTATCTGCCTTTCCTTCCTTGATAACTGAAATTTGCACAAGATTTCAAAAGGATGAAATTCATTTGAAACAGTATCAAAAGTAATCAAAAAAATTCAAACGAAAGCTTCCTAATTTCAAAATGTTGTTATAAAGTGCATTTTTCAAAAGATAATCATAAAATGCTTAGTATTATCAATGACAACAATGGCAAAAAAATGAAATGATAAAAATCAAAATATGCAAATTTGTATAATTTGTTCTTTGTGAATACCATATGAAAATATTGCAAATGAAAGTGAATTTTGAATGATTGCAGAAGTTATCTTAAAAACTGGTATAAGAAAGAAAAGCAATATTTTGAGCTATACATGCGAAATTATCGTATTTCCTTATTTGACGCAAAATTAATCACATATTTACATCATTGCTAGGAATTATCATCAAACGTCTGAACATAAAAGACGCAGAAGTTTGAAGCTTCAAATATCTTCATTTTCTATCAAATTTAACGCTGTAACGAATTTTTTTGCCATCTAAAATTCTTCTCCGGTGCATGAAACCTGTCGATGTTAAATAGAAAACATTGGAGAACCAGTGTAGCAAACACGTTCATACAGCTTAATGACGTCTAATCAATTTAAATTCATTGTTATTTGCAAGATAGGATAAATAAAAGAAGAATTGATGACAAAATGAGATAAGCTGTATCGTCTATTAATTCTTCAATTGGTGTCAGATAGACATATTTACCAATTAGACCTTGCAGTGTTTTGCCGGATGAAAAAGATTTGTCTTCTTATATTCCTTTATTTGTCCAAGAAGATGAACACCGCTCGAGCACCGATTTTTGCACCAAAAATTTGATCAATGGTGACGAATTACACCCTGTTGAGTATAATCCAAAACATTGGTTCAAGTTGAGAAAATATCTTTGTCTTCTTCCGTAAATAATTGTCAGATAAATTTAGATGTACTATTTTCTGATGTTTTTATTGCGAATAATCAAATAATGTCAAGTTCCCGTTTGCATTTTTTCCGCTATAACACATGTATCATTGAGCAATTCATGTGCGCCAAAAATTTCTTCATAAATAGAAGTTGCATCAGCACTGCTTCCCATCGCTGATAACACAGCCAAGTAGCCACAATGGTTTCTTATAGTTTTAATGATGAAAACATGACGCTTAGAACCAGTTGCTGATTGCTTGATTTTATCGATCATTTTGGAAATTTCATTTAATGACGAATCATCACCAAGAGTGAATCCGGTTCCTGGCACACTGTTATTAATGATAGACGACGGTATGACACACATTGGAATTCGGAAAGTGGAAATTTTCGCGATTTTGAGTAAATATTAAGCATGTATGGTAAGCATTAAAACCACTAATTATAACAGTTAAATTATGAATATTATCCACTAATTATAACAAATGAACTATGAATATTAAAGCGTAGAAAATTTTTAGTCATTAATGTAAGCATATTATTATTTGGAAGGTTTCGTTAATCACAAAGAAATGAACCTCATTCTGCACACCATAATGCTACATCGCTTCATTCCATTTTTTGAAACTGACCAGTAGCAAGGCCTTCATTGGAATTATAGATGCAATACGGGATACATCCTTGAAAGCTAGCCGTCCGAACGTAACTCATCAATGCTGCATTACAACCAACGCATGGGTGAGTTAATATTCATAATAGCAATATTGAACGTCGAAAAGTACGACCAGGTAGTTTTAGAGCTGTTACCTAATCTTTTATATCCATTGTTGTTTTGACAAAAAAGAAAAAAGAACGAAAACAAAATCCCAACATAAAAAATAGAACTAAATCAATTTTTGTTCGTTCCACACATTTCATCAACGGAATTCGTACCATTTGATTTCTATCAGTGGAAACTACACAAGCTTCCGATTCTTCTTTCACTTCCATTAATGTTAATAGTAGCTTCTGCTTCCATTCTACAGCGAAACAATCGATTAAATACAGATGGGCTGCCACCACGTTGAATATGGCCTAAGATTGTGACACGCATGTCATATTTTAACTTCTTGATTACGCCTTGAATCATACTTTCATATTATGATCAATGGCTCCTTCGTCAACTATTATAATGTTGATACACAAAAATCTTTGCAACACGCTGGACCAGTTACCGTACCATCTTTCTGAATAATATGCTCGCTCCCATAATTCGATCTTTGTATTTCCCTTTCTTTGTAATGGATCCTTCATGACTGTCTATTGCCTTTATTTGAAACTCTATTTCAGTGGATTAACATTGAATACAAGAACATCCGGCAGCTCACTGATCACTTCTTCAATTTCAGTCATTAAGTTTTGTTGTTGTCTTGTCAATTTAAGGCTCAACAAATTAGCACAATAAGAATTTATAGTTTCAATTTCTATAAGATTAAGTCAAACTCGAAAGATAATGTCTTGCATAGCTTATACTCAAACAAAAAATTTGAATATGCGTTAACTTGGAATTTTAGTCTCTTTTAAATTTATAAACGTCCCTCTCTGAATATTTAGATTATAAATTTTTAATGCAAAATTTTCTAATTTAAAAATCATTTCGAAATGGACTGAAACATATGGAAATTTGCTTGTTTCAAAAATTTTGATTGTGCGCGATTGTACGCAATGAAGAATATTTTTAAAAGTGAATAAATTCAATAATCATCTAATTCGATTGCGACATATTGATCTTTTCCAATAACCTAATTAAAGCAAAGCTTAAGAAGGTATGTGAAGAATCATGGATTTTATGTAACACTAAGGAATTATAAGTTGTATAGCAACATTCAATAAAGAAAAGTATGTTATGTCATGTTACCCAATAAGATACTGTTAAACTGATAAATACGCTAAGAAAACTAAAAGTGATAAGGAATCAATCATTTAGAAGAAAATAATAAATCAATCATGCAAAAGTCTTGCTTTAAACTAACCTATATGTTTTAATGAGATTATTCCTATATCTGTCAAGTGCAACAATACGAATCATTGAATCAGTTATTTGAGTAACGTCACACTCTCTGACTCCACGTAACCGTGCAAACATCTGTAATGTTTCCTGGCCAGTCATTTCACCGATAATTGCATCAAACTGTGGACAGTATCCGATGTGACTATATGCCTTAAAGAAGCATAAAAAAAAAAATGATTTAATTTTTTACAAAAGAACTATGGCAAGATTTTTTGAAAAAGAATAAAAATATTAGGATAATTTTAAGCCTGAAAAAGGTGAAGTGATACTTCAGTAAAAACAAGTAAACAATCATTCATCGTGCACAATTCTTTTTACCATTAATTTTTAAAAAATAATTCAAACTTTTCTCCAATGAGTTTGTATATTAAATCCGTGAATATAAACGTCGCCTCCACAGCTTTTACTTTCACCAGTTAACATTTGAAATACTGTCGTCTTACCAGCTCCATTTATACCTAAAAATTTCAAATCTCAATTTTCAATTCAATTTTACTTAACATTGCAAAAAGAAAAAATCTCTACTTTTACTCTTCAAGAAATGCGAAGCAAATTTCATAAATATCTAGATTTTGTTAAATAATCTCAAATTATCATCTCTTGCCATATCAACAACTTAATGACAAATAATTAGGCTCCTCCTAACCTAATATCTATCCTAAAAAATGTGAAGTTCTACATGAATGGAAATAAATTATATTTAACCTAATAAACCAAAACATTCGCCCTTTGTAACATGAAAATTAATCCTTTTGACAGCATTCAGATTTCCATACCACTTCTCGAGATCACGCACGATCACCAAAGCATTATTGTTTTCCATTTTATGTATTTTTCTTTCTCCATCACTATATCATTGTTTTCATCATGCATTTGAGAAGTTTCAGCATTAGCTATCTGTAAGAAAATAATTTTCTCGTCATTTCAAAAATTTTCTAATTTTACTCCTTAAGATTTCGAAAAATCTCAACGACTTTAAAGCTTCATTTTTATTATAATTGAAAGCGATCATATTATTTATTGAATAAGATTAAACGAAACAATTTTAAAGTTATTACTGAATCATCACGTTCAATTCACAAATGATTAACCTTGTCATTCTCGTTAATAATTAATTATGTATGAAAACTTGAGGTTTTACAGTGCAAAAAAAGTAAGAACTAATGTCATAGGTGAGAAAAACGAAAAACGAATGAATTAAAAAGACGAACAAATCCCAAGACCAATTAATTTCTACAATAAAAATGTTCACTAGAAATTTGTTCAAAAAATCGAGGCTTGTTACATTACTAGAAATTAAGAAGAAATTAATTAAACAATAATTAACTAACTTTATTATTCATCATAGCATCCCTTCGTAACCATCGTTTAATAATTCCGATTAAATTCGTTTCATATGCAGCAATAGCAAGCCAAAAATGATAGAATGAAGAAATAAGAAAATAATCATCAATGCCATTCCCGTTTTACCCGTACTTAACAACATATTATCAACATAAAATCGTTCTAAAAATGTAATTTTTTTTGCCGAGGTTTTGCAAAAATATTATTTATTGAATTTGGAATTTTAAGCATTGCAGAAAAGCATTCATTATATTGCTTACTTATCATTAATCAAAATCTAAGCTAAATTAAATAGTATATTTGAAATGATAAGGATAAATGCATAAATTGAAACGGTAACGTTTATTTTATTTATTCATTTATTTTTTCTTCAACTATATAATTGTTATTATCGTAATCATTTTTAATTCAAATATAATATATATTAGTTCATAATCTTTATTATTATTATTATTTTGTTTTGCTTTACTCTTTCTATCAATTATTCCACAAAAGTTTCACATCTTTTTTAAACTCTATTTAGTGAATATCTGTTGATAAAATGTCTCATCCTTTATTGAACTATCACAAACTTAATTTTTACTAAATTGAACTAGTAATTTGACTAATTACAGTTCCATTGGAAATGATATAACGAAATGGGATATAATATATTTTTGCGTATTTCACCAGAAACTACAACATTTAGAATCTAATTTA